GTTTTTAACCTTTCTGTCTCTGTATGTTTCAAGTTTTTTCGGATGGAGAGCATATGGTTGGGTCTCACATGACTACTTATTCTGACCATCGAGATTTAAAACTTGAGTATTGACTGTGATTATCAGTATGGTTGCATTTAAGTCTAGCATCTTTTTTTTTTCCTATTTGTTCTTCCATTTCGTCCAGTTCTGCCTTCTATTGGATGCATTGTTTTCCCGTATTACATTTCATGTCCAATATCGTTACACTATTTTTTTAAATTTAATGTTTGTTCTAGGATTTTTAGTATTTATCATAGTGTATCATAACCTGTGTGCATGTAACATTAAACCACTTAACATAAAGAATATTATGAAAGTCTGTTTTCATTTCCCTCTTATGTCCTTTGTGCTATTTTGGTGATGCATACATTTCCGTTCTACATCTGTGCCGAACCCCATTACACGTTGTCATTATATTTACTTTACATAGTCATTGTTTATAGAAATTAAAAGATGAGGAAACAAAGGAGAAACACTTTAATTTGCCTGCAAACCTGTTACATCTAGGGACCCTCATTTCCTTAATATGGACTCCAGTTTCCATCTGTATTATTTTTCTTGAGCTCTAAAAACTTCCTTTGTCATTAGCTCTGCTGGATATCTGCGGGAGAGGAATTCACTCAGCTTTTGTCTGAAAAAAGATTTCTGCTTCATTTTGGTAGGACATCTCACTGGCTTTGGAAGTCTACGTTGAGATTTCTTCCCCCCACTACTTTAAAGATGTCCTTTGGCTTGTGCATGCATTATTTCTAACTGGGGATCTTTAGTCTTTCTCATATGTGATGCCCTGTTTACAATGGGTCCTTTTCCTGTCTGCTTTAAAATTTTTCTCCTTATAATTGATTTCTAGCACTTTTATTTATTTAAAAAATTTTAATGCTTATTTAATTTTGAGAGAGAAAAAGAGAGCAGAGTTGGAGCAGGGGAGGGGCAGAGAGATGGAGACACAGAATCCAAAGCAGGCTCTAGGCTCTGAGCTGTCAGCACAGAAACCTGATGCGGGATTTGAACTCATGAACTGTGAGATCATGACCTGAGCCAAAGTCAGACACTCAACCAACTGAGCCACCCAGGCACCCCTATTTCTAGCAGTTTTAGTGATGATATATTTTGATGTGGCTTGTATACTGAGCTTAGATCTATGTGTTTACAGTTATAATCAAGTTTGGAAATGTTTCTACCCCCCTTTCTTCAACTATGTTTTCTGTTCTTCTGTGACTCCAATCGCAACATGTTTGACTACTTCATGTTGTCCCATAGTTCACTGACTCTCTGTTCCTTATTTCTTTCTTATCTTTCTTCTTCATGGAAAATAGTTTTTATTACTGGGTTTTCAAATTGGTTTTTTCTTCTGCATTATATAGTCTGCTCTTAAACCCAGTGAGTGAATTTTTGTCTTCAGATTGTATTTTTCAGTATTCTACTTGGTTCCATATAGCTTCTTTCTTTTTTTTCTCATCGTATTTGTGCTTCCCTTTAAATCTTTTCTGTTTATAACTATTTTAAAGTCTCTGCTACTTCTTCTCTTTCATTTCTATATCTGTTTCTGTTGATTGATTTTTTTCCTCCTGATTGAAAGTCACATTTTCCTGCTCCTTCACATGTCTAATCATTTTTTATTAGATGTTGGACATTTTGATTCTTAGTTTTGTATATCTGGGTTTTGCTGTCTTTCTTTTAAAGCGTTAAACTTTGTGGGGTGCCTGGGTGGCTTAGTTGGTTAAGCGTCTGACTTTCGCATAGGTCATGATCTCACGGTTCGTGGGTTCGGGCCCCGCGTCGGGCTCTGTGCTGACTGCCAGCTCAGAGCCTGGAGCCTGTTTCAGTCTGTGACTCCCTCTCTCTCTGACCCTCCCCTGCTCACGCTGTCTCTCTCTCTGTCTCCTAGAAATAAATAAACATTAAAAAAAAAAATCATTAAAGCGTTAAACTTTGCTTTGTATGGGCAGTTAAGTGAATCACCTTGATCTTTTTAAGGCTTATTTTTTAAATTTTATTAAGAAGGATCTGAAGTAGTCTTACTCTAGAGCTAGTTAAGCCCAACTACTAGGGCTTTGCACTTCTGGTGTTTCTACAGAATGCCCTAGTTGTTCAATAAGGTCACCTCACTATGCCTGGTTAGAACCTGAATGTTGTGTGCCCTACATATGTGCAGTTTCATATTCAGCATCAGACTCAAGGGGATCACTTTCAATATTTCTGGATCTCTTTCTCTGCCTAATGCCCTCTCTGGTGTTGCTCTCTGATTTCAGCTCCCTTACCATCCCCATTTCCGACAACTGTCTTCTCTCCTCAGTGAGATCATGATGCTCTACTTGGTTACTTCTTTCCTGCTCAGCAGTATGGAAAATGCCTCCATTTCAAAAGCTGGGATCATTATAGGGTGACCTTGTTTGTTTTCCCTACTCTTGAAGGATCACACTGTTAGGATGCCTTTTCTCAAATGACTGAAAACATCGTTTTACATATTGTGTCCAGCTTCCTTCTTGTTTGGAATGGGGGAGGGGCCTTTCTAGTAGTATTTATTTCATCATGGCCAGAAGCGGAAGTCCTTCTTCCACATATTGATTGATGTATTTTATATATTATGTATATAACATGGGAATTCATTTTCACTTTAAAATTTCCAAGAGTAATATGAATATGCAGAATAAAAGATGCTAGTTAGCTTACCTCTCCCATCTCATTTCGTGTCACTCAACAGAGTAACCATTTTTAAGAGTTTGATGTGAATCCTGCCATTTTCCTTTATATACTTATATACATTTATATACACATATCCACATAAATTAGGTATATACATTTTTAAAACATAAATCAGAGCAATTCAGTAAGTTCTGTTCTGCAACGTACTTTTTTTTTAATGTAATAACATCTTAGAGATCTTACATTATCAATTTTAATCAATTTTTATTTTTTAACATTAGCCATATATTCTACAGAAGGGTTTCCTCTGATTTATTTTATCACTCTACTTTTCAGACATTGAGGTTTTCCCTTCTAATTTTTTGCTCTTATTAACAGTATTTTTAATATCAATTTAATTAATAATATAATTTTAAAATTATAATTAAATAATTATATGTAATAATTTTAATAATATATTTAATAATTTAATAACAGTATTTTAAATAATATTTTAATAAAATATTATTTTTAATAATACTTTACAAGAGGAAATAGAAATAGATGAAATCACAAAGTATTCAAATAGTATGTCTGTTTGTAAATTGCCTTTCTAAACAGGTTTTACATATTTACATTACTTGTAACTAATAGGAGCCAGGCTGTTGGAAGAGGCAGTTGCTTGTAGATCTAAGACAGAAAATGTAAGAGATAGGTCTAGAATATTGTATCACAACAGGAAGCAAGGGAGGTAAAGAAAGATTACTGTGATCATGTCATGAGATACGGAATCCAATTTGAAGGGACTACCGTTGGTCAAGAAAGGGACAATTTACGTACAAAAAAACTGGTGTGATTGAAGAACATCAAGTATGTTTAACAGCCAAGAATCATGAAGACACAAACCAAAGCAAACCAAAACTACACTGCTTACCTTGGAAGGGAGCCAGAGGATAAGTCATTATTCTGGGTACTGGTAAGAAGAAGAATCTCATATTGATCCTCTCCCTATATGAACTTTCTTTCAAAGCAACCAAATAATTAATGAGGGGAATTTTTTTTATGGAAGTCTTCTAATAAATGAAGAAAGAATAATAGGACCAGACTACCAGCATTATAGCTTATGGCCTTTATGAATTGAAAAACTAGTCCTAGAAAATGATCGTCATTGGCTACTAATGTTCTCAGGTAACGAGGAAGCATGGTAAGAGGCTGTAGCTGACAACACGTGGCTACTCCACCAAATATATGTCACACAACTGTCCTATGACAACTGATATGAGGTGATGTGATATGAAGTACACAGCTTTTCAAATATTGAAACTGTGCAAGGCCCTCAATCTAACTACCAGTTTACAGGACATATAGGAGATACAGAATTTATTAAATGACATCTCAGGATGCTATCAGCCAAGTCTTGAATTCGAGAAATTCTACAAGATAAATCATGAAGTTTCTTCAGTAAGTGATAGTCAAGGGTAAAACGGATGGGAAGTGGTTAGAGATTAAAGGAGAAAGATAGGAAATAGAAACCATATGTAATATGCAGACCTTGTTTGGATCCTGATTTGAGCAAACCCAACTGTAAGAAGACATTGGGGTAATTAGATTCTAACAGTGACTGGATTGCAGATGACATCCTGGAATTGTTGGTGTTTCATGCATGGTATTATTGTTGTGTTCATTTTAAAAATAACCCTTCTCTCTTAGGAGCAAAATGAAATCATTCCCAGTAAAATGATAAAAATCTCTGCACTTGCTTTTAAATAATCCTATAAGGGGTTCAAAGAGGAGGGCTGGTGGCACTTCTTTATCTTGAATGATGAGCACAGGGGGTTTATGATAGTATTTTTTCTACCTTCGAGTGTTTGAAATTTTCCATTATGAATTATTTTACTTTTTAATTTTTTGAAAGTAATCTCTCTGCCCAATGTGGTGCTCCAACCCATGACCCTAAGATCAAGAGTCACATGCTCTACTGACTAAGCCAGTCAGGTGCCCCATGAATTTTTTAAATTGAAAAATGAACTTAGCTTTAACAGACCGGGTGAAGAGAATTTCATAAATCACCAAAATAAGCGAGGCGCTGTCAGAATTTCTCACCCTAAATATTTGGAGTATGCATGTTCATAATCTACACCTGCAGGAATGGTAGAGAATGTCTTCAGCATAATTCCTACAGTTGATTTGGACCCAGCATGCACTTCTCATGAAATGAGCACGAATCTCTTAGGTTTTAACACCTTAGAGAAAGCCTTGAGGCAGATCTCACGCTGTGGCTGTGTGCTCTGTTGTATCTGCTTCTCACCGTGCTCCTGATATTTGTTTTCCAGGTACAGCAGGTACAGACAGTACAGCAGGTACAACATGTCTACCCAGCCCAGGTGCAGTACGTGGAAGGAAGCGATACCGTCTATACCAATGGAGCAATGTAAGTTTATGCGTGGGAGTATTTTTCATTCTCCCACTTGGTTAGAGAAGAATAATGTTACTCTCCGCCACATCCCACTATTCCCAAATTTTCACAGCAATTTGTTTTCTTTCTTTCTTTCTTCTTCTTCTTCTTCTTTTTTTTTTTTTTTTTGTTTAAACTAGATCAGAGTTATTGAAATTAGACTGATGTTTAGAGATTCGTCTGTGTTTGATAAGAATGTGTGCTGATTTTCCTTTTCAATCTCAGTAGAATATTTTCAGTGATTGAAACTGGTAAGCCTTTAAATGGTTTCCACTAGATTGAGAAAAATGAATACCCCTTGTCGGTGATGTCTAGATCTTATTACTACCTTGTAAAACCTATACCTTTTTTTTTTTTGAAAGTAAGACAAATTTATGTGTATGTTTGTCCGTAAACCAATACAAAACTAGGACATTAGTTTTGGGGGACATTTAGTAAACTCTGTAAGAGTGCCTGATACTCACATCTTACTTTCCTGTCTGAACTAGTCCTTACCCCCTTGTCTAACCCCCTGCCCCAGCTCATCACCTTTGCAGCACCAATAATGTAAATTCGTAAATTTATACCAATTGTGTTTTTCAGCCACTTTGGATTAAGATTCAGGATGTTATAGGTAAAGAGACTAAGAACTATTACAAGTCACCAGGAATGCTTTCATTTACCACTTGAGTTTTTATTTGGAATCTGTTGAATCTCTGGGTTTACCTGAAACGGATTCAAATTCTCTCCCCCCTTCGTGTTGGTGTGCCCCAGGTTGATAGCCTCTGCTTGCTTTATTTTTGCTGCACCTTCTCTTTCCTTGGGTGGCTTTGTGGCTTCCCAGAACATCAGCCTGTAACCTCTATGATGGCAGGGATTTTTGTGTCTCTCTCTTTTTTTTGCCCCACTGCAATAAATCTAACACCAGAAGAGTGCATGATGCATAGGAAGAGTTCAGTTATTGTTACCTATTGTTATTTTAACAAAACAACTTAGAATCCTAGTTGAACTCTGTATGAGTTTTATTGTCATGATTAGGACACCTAACTATTTTGAACTTTCCATTATTCTTTCCTGGAAAGTGGGAGGATGGTAATCTTACCCTTGGTAGGTTATTGTGACGATTTAAGGAAATATATTTACAGCAACTAACACAAGACCTGGTAGACAACAGCTGATAGAAAACGGAAAGCTCTTCGCTGATCTTGACTCCTCTCTCTTTTCTCACTGCTTGTGGTCACTGAGTCTTTCTACGTTCCCACTGCCTTAAAAGCCCCATTACCTGTAAAATAAAATTCAGCTCTCCTCCTGGGCATTCACGCCATTCCTACGTGTCTAGCTTCATCTTCCACCTGTGCTAGGAACCAGTCAATTTTGTGTGTCTTTCCCCAAACACTCCCCTTTCGTGCCTGTTTTTAGACATGTGGTTTTCTCTGCCTTCCAGCCCGTCTTCTATCCGGTCCACCTACACAGAGCCTATGTGATCATTTAAAAAAAATTTTTTTTTTTTAGTGTTTACTCATTTTTGAGACAGAGAGACAGAGCATGTGTGGGGAAGGGGCAGAGAGAGAGACACAGAACCTGAAGCAGGCTCCAGACTGCTGACAGCACAGAGCCTGATGCGGGGCTTGAACTCACAGACGGGGAGATCATGACCTGAGCTGAAGTGGGATGCTTAACTGACTGAGCCACTCAGGCACCCCCATGTGATCTTAATAGACTGATCTATCACCTTCCCCCCCCGCCTTGTGACATGGACCCTCACTCTCCACTGCAGTTCCTTTATCCTTCCCCCATAGGGTGAGGACAGCACTGTACCCTGACTGTCACTGCCAGCACCGTGCTAGGAATGCTTGTTTATATTTATCACACCAGGAAGAAATCTCTCTGAATGGGAACTGTTGTCATTTTGTTGTTTTACTTACATCTGTTTAGGTGATTGGCACATAATAAAGGGTCCATGAATTTTTGTTGCTCTAGCAAGTCTATAACTCATTACATGTTGTAGACACACTCTGAATGTTTCTTTCCTGTTTGTCGTGTGGGACCAGGGCCTCCTGGAGCCCGCTGGTGGGATCTCTACCATAAACCCACACTACTGTTGGCGTTTTACCAGAAAAACCCAGATACACCTGCCACTTGGACTTGTGTTCTGCCAGGGAAAATATAATGGGTTTCTGGACACTGCTAGATGTCACTCAGTTGTATTGTCATTTCATTCTCGCCTGTGGTTTATCTGTCACAAGAACCCCAGAGTGAAGGTGTCCTGGGCAGAGCCTTCACACACCACCTCCCCTACAGTGGAGGGCTAAGTTACCACTCTACTGTCTTACTTCTGTAACATTTTATCTTACATATATTACAGCATTCTGTCAGCGGAGAATCCCAGAAAATCTGACAAAGAGAAGTTTGGAAAAATTAGGGCCTTTAATATTTGTCAGGACATAAGAAGTCCAAGGGTAACATTTTCTGCAAGTCACTAGCACCGTGTGGTGCAAGTATGAAGCCTTATTGGGGAAAGCCTTACATGCTGACAAATAGCAGAGGGAGCATGACTGGACCATGTGCACCATGGGAATTGGTCCATGTGAGATGTCTGGCCTCACGGAGTGCTACGTATTTCCAGGGAGCAGGGGCAGTGAGAATTACCTGGCTGTGTAGGAGGGGAAAATGGCTTTCTGAGGGGGCAGTAGGTGCCTGTGCAACTCAGTTCCACCAGGCTGTTCATCCTTCCAGATTAACTCAGATCTGCTGAGGCAGTTTAGAGGTAAGCTACCAAAAGATCATAGGAAGTGAGTCTCTAGAAACATCCAGAACTGTGCTTCCCTTAGTCTGTTGCCGACATCAGTTTAGCAGGAGTCAGGACCACGGCAGGATATCAGGGCCACAATTTTCTGATATGTCTGATACGTCTTCAGTTGCAGACATCATATCTACATTTTAGACAGGAAGAAGAGAATATGTATGTACATATATATATATGTATACGTGTATATACGTCATGTAGAAGCCCATGGAGGCTTTCCCAGAAACTCCCAGTTCCCTTTTGCTTGTATCTCTTGGCTTATATCTCTTAATCATGTCACAAAGTAGTGGTTAGCTGCAAGGGAGTCTGAGAACACTGGTCCGTAGCTTTCGTGTGTATGGTAGAAGGCAACAGGGGAAAATTTAGAGCAATTGGAACAGGAATTGAGATGGTTTCTACCATAGTCATTCATCATTGGTCCAAGGTAGGGTGGCGAGATTACTAGTGTGTGGCTTTGTGAAAGATACACAGCCTGCTTCACTTGTTTTTATCTATGAAATGGAGGTAGTTCACTTTTCAAAAGTGCTTCATGTAGCATGTTATAAACAGGAAACACTTAGTAAACTTTAGTTATTGCTGTAAAATTAAGCACTATGGTTATTCTTTTTATGCTTTCTGCTCATGTTTATGATCCTGAATTTCCTGTCTCGTCTTGTACCTTTTTAAACCACTCTACCACTGCTGTTACGGTCTTCTGCACCATAGGTAGATGAGAGATCGGTGAATTCGTTCATTCACAGACCCTTAGAAAAACAACATCTCTGAAAGTTGACTCTAAAACTACAAAGCCCATTTAGATACAGAAATGATTCCAAGTAAATACCTCATGTCAACATGAATTTTCTGTGGCTCAGCAGCCTCAGTTGGTTAGATCATGACTAATGAGGTCCAGGTCATGAGCTCACTGGCCCTAAAGTCCAATTAGCTTCCACCCAGTCTGTGTGGGTTCAGACTGTACCCTTATCTCCGGCCAGTCACGTCACAGATGGACAGGCACCCTTGCTGAAGAGAGAGAAGATACATCTTTAAAAAACCTGTGAAAATTTCAATTTCAGTGCAAATTTTTGACCAAGCTCCTGTAGCGTCATTTTCATATTTACTAAAGACACATTGTCTCGTCAGGAATTCTAGTCAAACTTTTAGTAGCTAGAGGACTATGAATATTTATTTTCAGATATAACAAACTTTTTTTTTTCCTCTCAGCTTAAGCTATTTCGGTCTCTCTGTTACTTTAATGCTGTTACTTGACTATGTACAGTCTTCATCTCTAAAGTTCATTTTAGAGTCTCAGTATTTGGTCTGTTATTTGATACACTTCCGTGTGTGTTAGGAAACAGCCCTCCATATTCGTCCTGTCTCCTACACTGAGTTAATAGCTAGTGAGCATTGGATTCCTGACTTGGGCCCCAATCAGGTTAATGAAAGCTTTTTGCTAACGATCCTCCCAGGAGACAGGGATGCTGGTCTTAACCATGAACCTTCAAGCACCCAACACGTGGCCCTAAACCTACACATGCGTGGTCAGTGCCAGTTAGCGCATGCTCCTGTCAGCCGTCTGCACGCCATGTAGTCGGAATGCACGGGGCCTTGCTCAAGAGCTGGTGGAAGCCCTAACAGAGATCTGCCATCACCTGTGAGAATGTGTAACCTTTATAATCAGATGGAACCAGAGTGTTTCCTCGGTTCTCCTTGTGAATGTCAACAACCACTACAGCATAGTGGGCTCCTCGGTGCATGAGTTAGTGAGGGAGCCTAGATTTCAGCACTGGAGACCGCTGTCCAGTGCTGGCGGGTGGAGAATAGTGTTTTTAGAAAAGAAGGAGGCAACTTAAGTTGCTTTTCCTTCTAATAGTTTTCCCATGAATACTTTTCCAAAGCCTGGATCAGATAGTCTGGTCTTTTTGTACGGATTCTTAGAATTTACGATCGCTAATAATTTGGAACACTGTAATTAACCCAGCTGGAGAACATTACATACCATGTGGACACAGCCCAATGCAATTGCTATTTCTTTGCATAGCTGATAAATTAGTTTTTTAATAGAATTATTTTTTTTCTCTCCCTACTCCCCTTTTTTGACTCCTGTACCCCAGAACCCCCACAGTGACTCCATCATGTTAGTCAAAATGGAAAGAAACACATACTATATCATGGCCAAGTTAAGAACCTTTTTTGAAAAATGTTTCTAATT